CACACACACACACACACACACACACACACACACACACACACACACACTATGATAATCAGAAATTAATTTGTCAATAAACCACATGATTGCGAGAGGCTTTTGTGACTAGTTAGCCTACTAAGAAAAGATGTGTGAATACGGCAGCTTTGGAAGCTGAGAGACTGAATAGACGCGTCACAAGAGGACTAAAAATATAAACCTGCTATCAATATGCACACTAACTAACACACACACACACACACACACGCACACACACAGCTGTGTTGTGTTAATGAAAGGTTACAGATTAGAAATAGAGGTTTAGAGGATAATACAGGGCTCTGTCACTCCCCGGGCGCCTGTCATTGGCAGCCCACTGCTCCCTAAATACAGGGATGGGTCAAATGCAGAGGTCAAATTTCGTGTATGTGTATATGTATATGACAATAAAAAGGGTTTCTCTGTGGGTGAGAGTTTATAGATAGCAGAAGCATGAGACACACAGTGTGCACGTACACACACACGTGTTTAAAATACAACAAGAACTCCAGTATGACTGCAACTCTCTCTCTCTCTCTCTCTCTCTCTATGATCTCTTCACCTAACCACTCTCTAATCTCATCCCCCCATCCTGCGTTTGCTAGTCCTTCTGTATTTTTATTTTCTTTCTCTCTGCAGCCACAATCACACCCCTTCTGCTTCTACTTCCTGTCACAATGTTCTCACGCTTACTCTGAATGCAGGGACACATCAACTAGCAATATTACATTTTATTTGGTGTAATGGTATAACCCAATATTTAGGGGTATGGCAAGGCACATCAATACTATTAAATAACTGTCTATAAGCGCACAAGAAGAGTTTAGACCTCTGTCAAGCAATGTTAACAAAAGTGAAATATAATGTGTGTAACCGCCCCATCATTTGGATCCGCTCCCAAGTTTAATGGGCTCTTCCTTTGCCTGTGCTACACCCTTCCACTAAGTCTCATGAAAATCAGGCCAGCTGTTTTTCCACAATTCTGCGGACAAACAGAACCAAAAACCGAACCTCCTTGGCGGAGGTCACAACGCGTGTGTATGCATGTATTACCCAGGTCCAGCCCCACAGCGCTGTTTAGTCTGCTAGGTGGGCAGCTCCTGCCCTGCATGCTGTGTGTACTCCTGGAAACTGGAATCTGTAGTGTCAGGTCGCTGGTCGACGACGGCTTCTGCCTCACCAGTGCGTTAGTAGAGTACAGGAACTGGGCGTACGACACAGACTGAGACAGAAAAAGAGATGAATTCATAGGATCTGAATCAAAAACCTCCCTAATCATAACAACATCTGACCGTGTGTTTATCTACCCTGCCGTAGGTGTCCAGTTGGAAACCCTCCAGCCCCGGTAGCATCTCCAGGGTGGTGGAGATGTTACCAGACGAGTGTCTCCTCCTCGGGTGGTTTAATGTAGGGTCACTGGAGAAAGACAGAGAGAGAGGGGTTGTTAAGGTGACGTGAGAACAGAGTCGTTCCTGGCAGCAGGTTTACCATCAGGAATGTAAATTAAGGACAGCTCAGATAAAAGATTCACAACATGAGAAATGTGAGCCAGAACACTGCAGCAGTTTAAATTCCTCAAAAGGCAATGGCTGTTGGTCTGTTGGCATCATGAAAAACTGATCTTGCGGAAGAGGTGTCGAGGCGTTTCAGCCACTGTCACTCGCAAAGTGACGTCATTTCCCCGTGTACTGATACTTCCTACAATGTGCATGTGTGGCGTGAGTATGACGTGACGTAAGCACGCACACAGCAGTTGTAGATTACCATGTGAAACTCTGTGTGTGCATGTGTGTGTGTGTTTGTGTGTGAACGTGATAGAGAGAAAGGGATTAGGAGAAGTTTACATAACTGTAATAACATCTGTATTTTCAGCAGTGTTTATACAGTATCTGAGTGTGTGTATGTGTTGGAGTCAGAGAGAATAAGAGACCATGATAAGCGTACTTTCTGCTCCATGTTTATCTGTAAATGTTTCTGTAAAGTGTTTATCTATGGGAAAGTTTATGTGTGATTATGTCAGTGGTTTTTCTTTTTGAGTGTACGTGTGTGTGTGTGTGTGTGTGTGTGTGCGTCAGCCGCTTAAAAAGTCCTCGAGTCAAGTTAGGAGGCTCTTAGGCACATGGGAAAAATTGTTGTCTTCCCGAGGCAACTCCCTTTTCTTCGTCTCTCAGTAAGGAAATAATTTCCTCTCCTCCCTCTTCTTTCTGTGGCCAGCTCTAGCTCTTCTCCTAAGCTCCCCTCCTACTCTTTCATCCAGCCAGACACTGACCTAAATGTGTGTGCATGTGCAGGTGTGTTCATTACCTGAGGTAGAAGCTTTCTCCATAGGGCAGAACAGAGAAGGCAGCACACAGAGACCTCTTCGCACAGATCAGCACGATCCTGAAACACAACCAAACACACACATTGGTGGTTATTGGTATATGGTTGTTACAACACCTGTCCGGTTGTCTGTTTGTAAAGGAAACATCAGGAATTAGCATCGTCAAGGTGAACAGCAACCTTCCTTATGACACACTTTTAGCGGACTAAACACAGAGGTAAATGTGACAATTAATCGTGATATTGTTTTTAGGTTATATTGCCCCTCTGGTCAGAGAAAAAACCCACGTCTGAATATAACGTGTAACAGATTGATATAATATTGACATTTTACCAATAATGTAATACTCTTCAGGTGGTTATTTCTTTTCTTACTGATGACGTAATCATTTTGAAGAAACGTTATGTAAAAAACAGTTTGAAATTTGGAACAGATGGCAAGCAGTACATTGTTATCAAGCAAATATACGTACGTTATTGCTCAAGTTCTTTTATGATTGAGTTTGATTAGATTTTGGATCAGGTTAAGCACACATTTGATTGAATTTGCAGGAAATTATTACATTATTGGGTGCAGAACCCTCAGTTCAAATAAACCATCTCTCAGTTGTCGACACAGCCGGGTATTTTATCTTATCCGTGTTCTACTTTGATGCAGTCATTACCACGTTGGCTCTTTATTATATTTTGTAATGTATGAAGAGCATTCACAATAAATATCAGAACTAAACTGATTTCATTTTGTAACAGATTTTCCTTTTTTCAACTGTTTTAGACACATGACTCAACCTGTAAACAAGTGAAACAGATGCGTGTTTGATGATATTTTTTTGTATTGTGAAAGTCCCTCAGGGTTTTCTCAGGTTCACACTCATTAAAACTTGACTGCGAACACATGAGACACCTTGCAGTACCTCAGAGTGCTATTACAGGAACACAGACCCGGTGGATGTGCTGAGCTCCAACACGAAGCTGAAAGACCACAAAAGGATCATATCTCTCTTCAGCATGGACTTGAATGTTTTGCCGAACCCTCAAATGACACTTTCCTAACTGACCCAAGTGTTCCACCTGCATCTCACCAGAGCTTATTATCAACTTGTTACAACGGGGTTTCAATGGAACAGAGTGTGTGTGTGTGTATTTCTTATTGCAGATCCTCTGGAGTAGAAATCCCAGTGGAGCAGAAACTGCACATCCCTCGCCTGGTTTGTTTCTCAGAGGAACATGTTTACAGTCATTATCTTTGGCTCAGGCACCAAAGAGACTGGAAGATGATTCACAGTGTGTGAAAACATAAACACACTTATCTTTGAGTGTGTCATGCTGGTGATGAATAATTTTATCTATCTATCTATCTATCTATCTATCTATCTATCTATCTATCTATCTAT